TAGAATGTGATACCCTTCTACACTGGCCTTGTTAGATTTTAGTGGTTATTATTATGTTATTATAATTTTTGTCTTCCGAAATTAGGACTTGGAACGGCTTCTTCGCCCTTATTTCGCGTCGTTGGTGCTTGGGGCGGTTTTTTGGCTGTCGACAATATCGTACATTGTCGATGTTGACTGCCGTGGATGGAGCGGTTTGTGGCTCTTCGGAGTGCTACGACAGAATTTTGGATTCGATTTTGGAAAGTGTGGTAAATTTTGGAAATTAAAACCACTTACCATTTCTTTTTAATTTTTCTAATATACCTTAGGTAAACAATTGCTATTTTTACTGAATGTATTAGAATTTTTTGTGGATATTCATTATCTAACAATATATCTCTAGAAATCCTATTTCATTTTTCAAAATTTGGGTTTTCAAATAAATTAATTATCTGTCATATAAACATTTTATTACACCTTTCTGTATATAAACGTATTGTGTTGGCAACGACATCTACACGAATGTGGTAAACGGAAATTTAGCTTCTTCTCTATAAGAGTATTGGATGCGAATTTTTTAATTTGTTGAAATTTCGTGCTCGATTCCGATTTCATATTTTTTTTTTCCAGGTATCTGCGTAACCAAGCCCCAGGTACACTTGTTATCTTAAAGTTACCGTTTTTGTACTGACGAATTGTGGTCAAAATAAGTGTGTAAATAATAACCTCTTACCGCAATGCTATAAACAATGATATTTTCGATCGAATAACTCGTGAATTTCGAAGAAGACGTTTGCCAATACGGTAAAATAACCGCGATAACTAATTATATCCTACACTTATTGCATGTATTGGGAAAGTGGTGGTATTTTTTTTTCTCACACAGCGTTTGGTCAATTAATTGCGTCCAATTAATTACGTTACTGAGCGCGTAAATTTGGATTTGCAATTTTTGCGTAAATCGATGTTTGTTCGTTTGCTGTTACGCACCTGCTGTTTAAAAAACTTATTTTTGAAAAATCGCATTAACAATTTTTTTAATTGAAATCTAATACGGTGTTATTCTACACCCTATTTTTTAAACTTAAACAAATGAATTTAATTTATTTTTCAGTCCTTTAATTTTTTTTAATTAATGCCGAAAAAATTGCATTTTTTCAGGAGCAGTATGATTTTTTTGCAAAAACAATCTTTAATAATTAAAAAAACTGCAATAGGTCAATTCCTTTTCAGTTTTGAATAAAAAAAATGTTATTACAAATTTTTAAAAAGTGACATCTAAGAAATTGTAGGATTAGGATGCCTTATTTTATTATTTTTCTTATCTGTAGTTTCGTCTACGGTTGTTAAATTTTTTTGTATCGAAATCCGACCATATACAGGGTGTTGTTTAAGTACGTGGCCAAACTTCAAGGGATGATTCTAAGACGAATAGTTTAGATTCACAAATGAAACCTCGTATTCTTTGGTGAAATTTAAGGGGAGTCTTTCCCATACAGTTTTTATCTAGAACGCTTTGTTAAAAAGATATAGGGTGTTAAACTTCAAAAAATATTTTTAATTTTTTAAAAAAATTTAAAAACTAGCAAGTGAAATTTGAAATTGGGCGCATGTATTTATGTAAACATTGTCCAAAATCTGAGGGCTTTTTCTAAAATTTTGACGGTTCAGTGGCGGAGATACAGGGTATCGGTGGCATATTTTTCTAAATAAAATAGTACGCCACTGCTTTACGGTAACAACCATGATATTTTCGGATTCGTTTTTCAATTTTCTACAAATTACTACCCTCGTATGTTTTTCGAAAACATCCAGATTGTCGAGTAAAACTTAAAAAACAAGGTTTCATTTTTGGCCACCAGTTGTGAATCACCCTGTATAAACATAAGTTTAAACTTTAAAAAAAAAACCTTTTTTCGTAAAAACCTTAATAATTCTTTAGCCGATTTTGTTGAAATTTGGCAGTGTATTTATTAGGGTGGCCCAAAAAAAACGAATATTTTTTTTTCGTGTCTCTTGTGAAAATATGTTAGTTTATCATGTTTAAGAGCCCTCTCAAAAAAAATTTTTTAGAGGTCGCTCAAGATTTTTGAAAATATCCAAAATCGTCAAAAATTGATTTTATTTTTAATTTTTTTTATCGTTATTTTATAATTTTTTTTTTAGGTTGAAAACAATCTCGATTCTGAAAATTTCAAAGTAGTGTACCTATGTTTTCGAGCGACCTCTAAAAATAAATATGAACGAATAATTTTTTTTATTGAATTTGAACAAAAGGATAGAAATAAATCAGGACATTTAAATTTTAAAAAATTAAAAAATTATAAATAGTTGATACAGTGCGGTAGTAAATTTTACCTCGAGAAATATTTTAAGTGTCTCGTGATTTATTTCAATTCTGTTGTTCATCAAATTCAATAAAAAGAATTTCGTTGATATTTATTTTTAGAGGTCGCTCGAAAACATTTTAGGTACACTACCTTTAAAATTAAAATAATTATGTGTGACCTTTAGAAATTAAAATATCGATTTGAAATTTTCAGAATCGAGATTTTTTTCAACCTAGAAAATGATAATATAACGAGAAAAAAATGTAAAGAAAAATAAATTTTTGACGAATTAGGAAATTTTTAAACATCTCGAGCTCTAAAAAAATGTTTTTGAGCTGATTGTTTGAGGGGGCTCTTAAAACATGATAAACTAACATATTTTCACAAGAGACACGAAAAAATATATTCGTTCTTTTTTGGGTCACCCTAGTATTCATGGTAGAAAGGGGCTAATTTAACCCTAACTAGATTAAAATTATTGAATTTTTTTCGTATCTTGCTTCCTTATTGGAGAAAAAAAAAACAAAAATCACTTTATTGCATGTCCCTGGGACAATATAATAAAAAATTAAAACTATCAAACTATCAAAAACTGGGATGTACCTGTTATTTTTTCCCATATCAATAGTCTATTCTAGTATTAGAAGTGTTATCCCAATAAAGTGATTTTTTTTTTCTTCAAAAAGGAAGCAAGATTCGAAAAAATTCAAGAGACCAAAAAGTTGTATTTTTAGTTGCTTAATGCGAATAAATATATAAAAGTGTGGGTACACATGCCGCAAGTGACCCATTTTTAAGCATTACGTCAAGAGAGCCGCCGGACGCACCAACCTTCCAGGAAGGGTCTACGGCAGGCTGGCTTCGGCGACCAGATGCCTACTCATATACCCGCGACCGACTCCACACACAGCGACTCTCCAACGAACACTCACCCCGTCAACACGTCTTTTTATATACAACTTAGTTTTCAATAAATTACTTTATCATTACCGTTGAGAGAGCGTTTTATTTTTGCTGTACAGCGAAAGCAACCCTCAAAAGTCAATGGCTCACATTATTTTTGTTAAAAATATTGGTTAAGGTGCTCCCTGGGACGCCACTGGACTTAATACTTTTAATGTAGTTAGGACTATATTAGCCTCTTTCTACCATAAATAACATTGCCAAATTCCCACAGAATCGGCTAAAGTTGTATTAAATTTTTTCCGAAAAAATGATTTTTTAAACTAAGTTTGATACCCTGCATCGTGAAAACGAAGGATCACCGGACCTATGTATACAGGGCCGGAAAATCCACATGGTCCATCTGCATTGACATGAGAGCGACAAAGTAAAGTAAAGAAATCCGTGCGATAGACAAGGATGGTTATATTGAAGACGTTTCATAATCTGAATAGTCACCGCCCGTTTCGGGTTAGAAGTGGGAGTGACTATTCAGATTATGAAACGTCTTCAATGTAACCATCCTTGTCTATCGCACGGATTTCTATGACTTACTTTATCGCTCTCACGTAACGGCCGATGAACCATGTGGACTTTCCGAACCTGTATATAAACTTTTCGTCTTAGAATCACTCAAAAAATCATCCCTTGAAGTTTGGCCAGGTACTTAAATGACATCCTGTATAATTATAATTTTTGTTTAGACTTTTAAATATTGTACAAAAAATATATTTTTTTTTTGTACTGAAGAAAATGCAGGTGAAAATAAGATTACTTAATTCAATTTGTAGGAAAAACTTTAATTTTTCTTTTTACGAAAAAGTAATTTTTGATTAAAAAATCTGATTTCTTCAAATGAAGAAAAATATTGTTTTAAGTGGGCTAGTACGTATATTATGTATGCAGGCTAAAAATAGGTTACTACTTATTCTTAAAAAAATATAAACATTTCTCACATTTTTTTTTAAATACAAAAACACATACGTTTCCCTTGAAAAATAAGTGCATAAATCATATTTTATTTCTCCGAAATCCTCAAAGACGACGAGTTATATATAGTATAATCTTTTTTTCGTAACGACCTTGTGCTTGCAAAAATTTAAGATATTCCTGGATGGTTTAGATTTTTTTTATGTTTGTAATATTGGTATCCCCTCAGGCAATACAATTGGAGCGTCAATCTCGGCGGCATCGTCAGGGAATTTCTTGTAGAACACGCTCTGTTTATTTGGACCCATTATTTGACTCTTCATACATTTTTTTAGCCGATGTTTTAATTTTTTTTAAGCTAGCAGCTGCATGGATTTTATTTCGCTTTATTATTTTGTATTATTTCGTGTCTTATCTTTTTTATTTGTTTATACAATGACCGCATGTTCTTAATAAATGCCTGGGTTGGTATTGTTCATAAAAACACAGAATTTTTGTAAAATCAACATTTCATTTATGGCTATTATTTGCAGATATAGGTATTCTGGTAGTGTTGAAGGAGCGCCCTTTTAATAGGAATTTTTTTCGGATGTTTCGGAATTTTGTCATCGTCGTCCAGACTCCGCTGGAAAGTTCGGCGATTTTCTGTGGCTCATACGTGCAGAAAATCACAGCCGCCTCGAAAATCGCGCCTTGCTGGAGTTTTCCATTTCCAGAAAGCGGTGGTGAGGCGCGCGCGCACGCGCATCCGCCGCCGCGGTCCCGCGACTCGCAGCCGGATTCCGCGGCCTGCGCTGCCTCTCAGTGCGGCGTGAACCAGAGGATAGTGCGGTTTGGTATCGATCGACACCGAATACAGAATCACACACACACTCTCTTCACCCGCGGTTCGCTAGTGCAGTGCTCGCCACAAGGGAAGTGTCGAATCGGTCGCCCATCCACCCCGAGAAGGTCAGTTCAGTGATTATGGGTACGACGTACAGGCATGTCGAGGTGAACATGGAAGATTCCGGCAACAGTTGCGGCAGCAGCGTGGTGTCCGACTTCAGCGGCCCCTCCGACCACACGGACTTCGACGGGGACGGCGTCCAGGTGTCCGACCTGGAGGGCGACGCCGAATCGCATATTCTACAGGTTGGTAAAAACTTCTTGCTTTCCGTATGGAGCCGGCCGCTCCACACATGCGTATGCTTGGGCGGGATGTATTTTCGTTGATGGGACTGCGAAAATATGCCAAGGAGAAACTATGAATCGATACAATGTGCCAGTGATTATTGTGCCAACCCCCTCGAACACGGTTCGAAGTTCACGGGAAAAAATCACGACCTGTGACGCTTTAACTTGCCCTAAATCACGCCTGTGTCTACGTGACCTATATTTTGCCATGTCGTCGCGAAATTCGGGTTGGTTCCATCCCCAGTGATTTCCAAGCCGAAATTTCGGTATCTCGAGCGTAACTATGTGGGTGTAGCAGCTTATCTGAATCGTCATTTCATTTTATAACGTTTCGGAAACGTTCCACGCAGTTCTAGGGACTTCGGGCAACAATTACATTTGAATATAGTCTCGTAAAAACGTCCGGTATCGGTACATTTACCTCGGTGTTCGTTATCTGCTTTAAAACTTTAATAGATTTATGGCGGAGGTAAATAAATTTATTAGGAATTCAATTACTTTTTTATTGTGCAACCCATTATTCGGTTTTAAAATTAAACCATTCAAAATTCCAATTAACAAATTCGTGATAATGTCGCAATACAAATTCGTGAAATACCTAAGTCGTTATTCAGATCCTTCGAATGTCAGATTTCCAAAATACTTTCCATGTTTTTTCAACAAACTCCTGCGAGTAACATCAACATATATTCAGCTTTCTTGACAAACTTATAAGGCATCCGTAGCAATTACAAAAAAATTTGACTCTGCAAACAAATTTGTCAAAATATCCTGCGATACCAATATTCAATAATGTGGAATTTCGAAAATATTCCGACTCTCTCTGCAACTATATCTTACAATTACAGAAAAAATAAATCGGGGCACCAGAATAGAACTTCTAACAACTGCGGGGCTTATTTTCATATTTTTATCGTATTTGGATACGGTTGATGTACACAATAAATAACAAAAATATTCAACATATGTCGACAGTGATAAAAATTCGAGGATAACGACGCTAAAACCCATTTGCAGCTGAACAAACCAGTGGGAGACTTCCAAATTCCTTTCACTTCCAAGCATATTTACCTAGATAGCTCCGAGAACCTTGAGATAAGTAAATGAACTATTATCTGGAGTTATTTCAGGCCGATTTTTGTATCTACCACGAGATAAAAACTGACCTAACCACGGTCGGATAATTTTTTTTTTACGACCGACAAACACGCTCTGTTGCTAAGGCGTGCGCGACTAGTAGGCTGTGATTTAATTGTTGCACTAATGGCGATCAACAGTTTATATTTAGCGCGACGCTGACACTTCGTCAAATTTCGACGGTAAAACAAAAGATTACAGTTGGGAAGAAACGCAACATCATGACACACTAGTTTTCGAACGCCTTTTTTGGATCTAGATCTAGGAGATTGCAGTTGCCGGTGATTATCAGCCTTAAGTAACTAAAGTAAATTGGAGAAAGTCCACTTGATGCAGCATTGCATTTGGTTGCGCAAAACAAAAAATCGTCTCGAGCCGAGCCATCTTGATTTTGGGATTATACAACCGAAGGCACTGGAATTAATTAACGGGTATTTATTTTTCAGTAAAGTAAAGGGTGGCCGTGCGCAAATAGCGTGTATGTTCATGTTGGAATTTCATTGTTCGCGTAAAAACTGTGGGAGAAAAAGCGCGTTGCTCGCAGCAAAAACGGTAAACTTTAGCATTTGCCTTTAAAGCCTCGCCAACTCAGAACCTGTTTGGCTGCGAGTGAAAGGGATACAGAAACAAATGGGTCTCTGGGTAAGGCAACATGGAATCCGAAGTAAAAACTGCTCGATTCGCTTTATTAAAAAAGCCGCGCCGTAACTTGTTGAGAACCGGACAGGGCTTGATTTGTTGTCCGACTTGAAATAAAAAAAAAACGCGTGAATATTTTGCAGATTGCGTTAATTCCTTCTGAATTTGGCAAAGGCGGCCTTGAACCGACGGGTTCGCTTGTTTGGTTTGCAACGTCAACTTTACTTCTGTCGCTAAATTTAGCATTTGTCTTTATTTATTATGTGACGAGTCTCTTTGATTTTTCGAACGGTTGTTACATTAAGAACTTAGCGTTTTTGAAATAAGGCGACGTTTCTTTTAATCAATCTCTAGTACGTGATATTTTTTTTAAACAGCATCTCACCTGGTCTGTCTAATCTGGGATTACCCACCTGAAACCTGAAACGCAAAACCATTGCAATTTTTCTCCAATCCACAATAATTGCTATTGCGCGGGGGTCATTTGAATAATGTTGGTCACGTATTGAAAACGTGTATGCATATGTCATGATTCGTGACTCATTTAATTTGAAAATAGTTATTTTGGCACATAAAAAATGCAAACCTAAGGTGACGTCCTCTTCCATCGAAATGGTTATTCTAGATATTTCACAAATGTAGGTGAATCTGTAAACGAAATATTTATGAATAAATTGCATACATACAAAAATAACTGCATATCATGGATACATATTTAAATGCCTTTGGAGATAAGCTCGCGTAAACTGCTGTTCAAATTAATTGTTTACCGCACGTGTAACAGCTTTGTTATTTAATTCATAGTTTAATTTTTTTTATTTAACGAATCTGCAGTCCGATGAGCAAGCTTGTACCTCCTACACGACCTACATTGCAGTTGCAACAGGTTAATGTGAGATCAGAACTGGTATTACTAATTTAATCATATTTATTTTTTTGTTTGTATCAAAGACGCTCAACCTATAACCTCACTGTTCTTATCTTCCTGTGTTACAAGCAAAAATGTAGAAGGAATAACATATACTTTTCTCTTATCGAGGTGCTGATATCATCCACTTGCCTAGCAAAGATAACAGATATTTGATACATTTTACGTTGAATACAAAACTTTTTTGAAAGGTATGTAAAATACAACATATTTTGTTTTTGCTGTAATACATTTAAAAGTAAATTCCGTTCATAACATCAAAGAATTCAAGAAATTCAGAAAAGTATGTATTTACATCTAAATTTTTTGTTAAATTGTTCCGCTATTGCTGTTCTAGAATTTCAATTCATGTTCCAGTCGTTTCTCTGATCGTCCTTTGTAAAGCCTGCGAAAGATACGCCAGGGGTTGAATGGGGCGGCATGAAACCCAAATCAATAACATCTTCTCTTCGTGTCAAGGGGTTGGTAAAGACACTTAGGGGACTAGATATATTTTGTTGCGTTCTTAAAGAGTGAAATATTCGATAAGCGATTATTAGAGGGACTTGAATCCACTTCCGTGTACAGGGTGTTCCTAACACTTCCGTCTACAGGGTGTAGACGAATTCAGTGAGTACGGATTACATATGAATTTGCTTCCAATTAATGTGATTTCGTACCTTCATAAACAAATGTTCGAATTTAAATAGCGAACTGTATATTTGTAATGTTCTTTTAAAGAGATCGCATAAAATAACGAGCCGTCGATTATCACCGCTCGTTCTAAAAATAAAGACAGGATTAGGGGTTAAAATTCTAACATTGACTAAGGCTACCTGCTGACGTAACCTCATCATCCACTTAGCGTAATTGCTGACGTACAGTCCTTCACGTGAGCAACGTGCATTCGTATGTCCGATACGCGACGTAAAAACAGCGGTTTGTCGGACAAAACGTGACGCCACCGAAAAACTTATTTAAATTTCACTGAGTGACATGGCATTATATCGTGTAATCCTGGCAGGTGAACGCTTTCTGTTGTATATTTTTGACCAAGACGGTCGAGATCAAAGAACCGATTGGTACATTGAAAACAAGTGATTTATTTTTTGAGGTTAGGAGTCTTTCAACAGCTGTCATAACAACAATATTTGAAGTTTATTTATAAATACACTACCTTAACTGGCAATTATAATTATAGATCCCCTAATAAGACGTAATAATAATAATTTTATTGTCCATAAGATCATTGCAATGACATAGGACACGTCAAAATAGGTGGTAAAAATGGCAAATTACAAATATGAATGTACCTAAAGGCTTACATATAAAAATATAACATACATACAGAAGAAAATGACAATAAAATACAAATAAGATGTACATAAAGTAGAAAATATAAAACTAAGTCCATATACCAGATAAATATTCGTGTACAGAATAGAAGCAATGTTCCATTAACAAAATCTCAACTTCCCGCTTATAAATTTTTAGACGTATACAGGATGTACACAGGGGTACACCCTGTATATTGTCAAGTCTAGAAGAGAGGTATTTAAGAAATTCCTCTGAACTTATTCCAAATGTAGTAACTAACATATGTTGATTCCCCATCAAAAATTACACAATAATCTTTAAATTCAGCGCAACATGTCACAATTTCAGTACTTAATTATACCCCAAACCAACATGATTTTTTTTCGTCATAATAAAACATTTTTGAAGTGCAATACAGTCATCAACATATGTAACAGAAATAAACAGCTAAAAGTATTCTGCGTATCAGAGAACATTAGTCTCACAGATATCATTGATGAACGTATTGCATAATAGCGGGCCAAGAACTGAACCCTGAGGTACTCTCGAAATAGCAGCAATTTCAGTCGATGTAAAACCACGATACTCGACTTTTAGTGATCGGTAATTTAGATAGGTAAGATTTATTGAGAACGGTTGAAAACAAAGAAAATATATATTTTTTTAATAAAACCTAGTAAAGTAAGCACCATTGATAAAGTAGCAGCATATAGGCGCCAGATAATCTTTGTGCAGAACGGTTTGGGTTTTTAAAAATAGTATAATTTTCCAAAATTCACAGAATAATTTCGTATGTAGTTATTGAAATAAACAAAACACAGTAGCTTTTAACAAGCTTTACCGTTATTTAACCTTTATTTATGTTTCTTTTAGATGTTATCATGATCAGTTACTACATCGGTAGCGGTAGTAATAGTAGTAGTAGAAAAGAATATATATTTTCAGCTTCTACATCTTA